AATGAGTATCGTGAAGACAGGATACACTAAAAGAAACACATATTGGGGAGGGGGATATCAAAAGAAAAGAACTTTCTTTTGATAAAACTGTAAATTATTTGAACTAGTGACATTATGGGAAATATTTGAGCTGTCACAACTTCCTTCCCTGGTCATTTGAAATGTCAGCCAAATGTTTGCATTTTCACAGTAGTGGATAAGCACATGCAGCAATATCTATTTTATTCAAGACATCAAGAAAAAGCTTTATGTGTGTAAGAGTCCACATTTGAAAAGCTAGTATGAGAACCAAACCTGGTTCTCATGCTACTCAATGACTGCCAGGAGCTAACGAATGAGGCTAAAAGCTCAGTGCTCCTCCACCCATTGGCCTTCATGTGACCAGCCGCAAAGGCCAATCTCCCAACGGAGCATTCTACATAGTTTCCATTGCTGGAGAGAGAAGTGGCCAACTGATCCAAACCAGCACAGAAAGACAGGCTTGAGAAGTCCTGAAACACCTGACTTCCCCATGCCCTGTCGATAAAAAAGAAAACGTAACTGAAGGCTGCTGGGGCATCACACATAAAGACATGAGCATCAAAGCACTGGTCCTCCTGTCCATTGCCTTTCTTCAGTCCAGGGGAAGGATGCCACAGGTAGGGGTGATATTCCAAGAGCATCCACAAGTATAGCCATGCTGGGTTTTGGTCTGTGTATGTTACGAATAGCATCTACTCTGACTGGTTGCTGTTGTTGCCAACTATTCATCTCATTGTGTTTGCATTATCATTCAGAAACAGGGGCTAGTTAAAGCACACAGGAGTTAAGTAGGTGAAGCACCCAGGGCAGACAGTGGTGGACGGAAAAGTACAGGTGAAGTGGACACCAGCTACCATGTTGAGCAGTTTGAAGCTATATGGAACAACATTACTGCCAAATATTCTCATGTATTTAAACAAAATGCTAGCACTCTGTTTCTTACACACAAACCACTACATTTAAAATGTGTATTCCTATTTCAAATCTTTAAAGTACTAAATTTGAAACAAAATGCTTCTTGGGGGCAGACCACAGACCACTGGCTGTCTGCCTGTGACTACAGCATGTTTCAAGAAATATTTAACTATAGAAACTGGGCTTGATGCCCACATAGCAGTAGAATGCCACGGGGTTTCTGCAACTTGGCATAAACAATATATTTGCCATAAACAAAAAATTAACTTCACCAATAGCTTCAAAAGAACAGATGATGATTTAAGAAATTAACTCCAAAATCTCTAAAGTATAATTATGAAAATTTCTTAATATCCAGTAATGCTAATCATATTCTAATCTAACTCATATCTTAAACAGGAATTAGTGTAAGGGTCTGTCCTGTTCCTTTAAGAGACAAGCGCTGCCCACTCCATCCCACCATCCACCTCCGAGGGAGGCAGATCTTCCTTCTGTTTCCAGTCTCAGCTCCTTCCTTTTCCATCTCCTCTGACTCCTCTCCTCTCCCCGCTGTTTCTTTCCTTGTCCCCCACTTCTCCCTTCCCTCTCTTTCTCCTTCCCTTCCGTAACCCACTAAATAAATATCTAACCTCACTCTGTATAGTGTGCATTGGTCTCTCAGCCACCGTGTGGCTCCCTGCCTAGGACCTGCTGACGCTCATGCTCATGGCCAACGGCCACTATGGGGCTCCCTGCCTGGGAATGGCTGCCTTTGTGGCCCACCATGGTCTTGGGACCCACTGCTCACTGCAGCCACTTGGGGAACAGCACCATTTTATTTAAACCATAACACTGGTGCCATGACACAGAAGCAGAAAGAAGATCCTAAAATCAAAAGGTCAGCTTGCCTCAGTGGACAGTGGAGAGAGTGGGTGGGGCTTATCTCTTAAAGGGACAGTACAGACCATTACTTTCAGCTTCCCAGACATTTCTTCCCTGTCATTTGCTCTTTGCTTTCCCATCTCTAATTGTTACTTTGGATGTTCAATGTTCCCTTAAAGCCCGTATGTTATAAGGTTGGTTCCCAGCCTATAGGAAACAGGCATCTGACAAGACCTTCAGGAAGGAGAACCTAATGGGAGAAAGTGAGGACACTAGGGGCTCTGCCTTTAAAAGAAACAGTAGGATCCTGGGCCCTTCCTGTCTCTCTGCTTCACACACTCAGTGAAGTTAACAGATCTTTTCTGCCATGCACACCCACCGCAAGTCAAAGGGAACAAGGGCAAATGACCATGGACTGAAACCATGAGGCAAAAATAAACCTTTCTCTGCTTTGGGTCTATTATGTTGAGTGTTTGCTATAGCATTGGCATGCTGACTAACATGCCAAGTCTTTCTTCATTTGAGAGGTAGGATCAGAGGATTTTCTCAGCATAATCTACATGTAATATGCTTAGCTCAGTGCCCGCCGGAATAATAACTCGAAAGCTAAGCATTTCCCTCTAGTGTGAGTATTATTTAGTTGGCTCCTCACAGAGCTGATTTGTAAGTTGGAAAACTAATGACTCTGACAAGTTCACTGTTAATAAACCTGTCTATGGAATCACTTCTGTACCTACCCATCTCTTAATCGGGCTTTAAATATCCACCGTCAACTTCAAATCCTCTTGGTCAGCTCAGAACCCTTTTCCTTCCCCCACACAGAAAAGGAAGTGAAGTCATTTCACACCCAAGGAAATGACAGCCTCCACCTGCCCTTTTTCCGTGGAGTGAGATGCACTTTTCCACTTGGTTTCATTGTTAAATTAACTCATTCCCTCTACCAAACCATGTGTATCAGTGTGGATGGGTGTGACATGAGTCTGTACACTAGCTACTTACATATTTGGCTATTTGCAATGAGTTCTTGTATAACCAAAAATAGTATCTGGCCTTTTCTTTTGAATGACTTGCTTTCTTCACATTTATTTATTTATTTATTTATTTATTTATTTATTTGTTTGTTTGTTTGTTTGTTTCGTGTGAATGTGGGTGTGGGTGGGTGGATGTACACACGAACATGCATACATGTACTCACGCTACGGCATGCCTGTGGGGACAACAAATATGAGTCCTCACATATTTTCTCTTTCTACCATGTGGGCCCTGGGGATTGAACCAAGTGGCTACTTGGTGGCCTCTCAGCTACCTTACTAATCCTTCAACTGCTTTTGAAAACATACTACAGAAAACTGAAAGGAGAAACTTATGTGAATCTAATAAGCAGTTAATAAACAAAATACACAAGGAATGCAGATGACATCACACAGGAAAACAAGCTGATTTTATAAGGAGCAAGGAAGGAGTAGCGATTTTCCAAAAGTATACATGAAATGGCCACTAAGCATATGGAAATATGTTCAGCATCACTATCACGGAAACGCAAGTTAAAATGGGATATTGCTTCTCGCTTGTCCTAATGGCTATTAGAAAAATAGGTGAGGATAACAAGTACTGGCAAGGGCGCGGTGACCAGAGAGCCATTCGCTCCTTCCATGGGAATGTAAACTGGGAGAATTATTAAAAACTGAACCACCCTACGAAAGAATAGCTCCACTACTATATATGTTCCAAAAGGAAGCTATAGCTGCAGTCCTATGCTAACTACAACATGGCTCACAAAAGGCAAGATACAGAATGAGAGGATAAAAAATGTGGACTATGCATCTGTACAATGGAATATTATTCAGCCTTAAAAAGGAAATCCTGTCATTTTTAGTAATATGGTTGAACCTGAAAGATGCGAAAAAACATAAACTGGGCACAGGTATATAAATACTATGTGATCTCCTTATATGTTTGATTGAAGAAAGTTGAATTTACAAAAACAAAATTATGGCTCCTAGGGTGGGAGATGATAGGTAGGGAAATAATTATGGAGAGGTTGATCAAAGGATATAAAATTTCAGGAAGATAGGAGAAGGGAGTTGAAGTGATTGGTTGTAGTAGCCGTGCTAGTAGCAAGTATTACATACCTGAACACTGCTAACAGACTGGAGTCTACTTACTAAAAATCAGTAAAGTATATGGCATAATATTTTTGTTAATAAATCCCAGTCATGCTACAAAGTATGATATTCTAAAACACGTTGCACACTGTAAATCATATCCAACTCCTATTTGTCAACAAAAATAAAATGAAGAGGAAAAATATCTGATCGATAAATTCATTGAAGTAGCATATTTATAATTAAACTCAGTGTAGCCACTCCACAATGCATACTGTCTCCAAACAAGCCACGTGCTATAAATCAGAATTTCTATTTGTCAATAAAATTCAAAAGGCAGGATATTTTAGCCACAAACTGATTAAATGGCAAATAATGAGTTCATATTAAGGGAACAGGAGTTTTATTTTAAGAAGGCCACTACTCTTGGACAACACATGTGGCTTACCCCACCCACTCCTAACCTAGACTCAAGATATGATTCACCATCCAGCGGCTTTAAACTAAGACTCTGAACTTCCTGCCATATGCCCTGTAAGGCAATGCCAAATCTAGAGACTGGCAATGCTACGGCAAACAGGGGAGGACCCACTGGCACCTTCCTGCACGCCCTGAGGACACAGAATGACTCAGCACACTCTTCCTCTGCATGATATCATACCCCAGGGAGGAGCTAAGAGGCACGCAGAGGGCTGAGTGGAACAGAAATGAATTACAGGGTGTATAGCCCCGAACAGTAAAAATCTCAATACTCTTGTCTTTCTTGATTTAAAAACACAGAATCACTCTTCCAGCCAAAGCCCAAGGCAGTTATAGTGATTTTTTTTCCAATGTTAGAAAACAGGGTCTATTAAGCACCACATCCAAAGCTTTCATCCCAGAATGAGGTTGGTGCCCATTGGCAGCTGGGAGCTGCAGAGGAAACCTAGTTAGATGCTGCCCACTAAGAAGAATGTTTACTTCACTCTGTGCCCACTGGCAGCTGGAAGCTGCAGCTGCTATCGAGTTAAATACTCCCCACACGAGAGGGATACTTACTTCAGCACATGAGAAAAATAACCATCAGAAGGCCAGTTGAGTAGAATCAAAGAACTATACCTGCAGGTTTTCGATTTCTTCTTTGTGCTCCCTCTTCAGATGTAAGATAGCAGCCTGGTATTCTGGAAGATCACAAGAGAAGCCAGTTACAAAGGAGCACGAAATGAGCCAGAAACCTCAAGGGCGCATCACCTGAATCCATGCCGGCAGCCACCCTCCCAATAGCCAAAGAAAAGACGTCCCATCACGTGTGGACAGGAAGGAGAGCTGTTCGACCTTGTGTCCAGATGGCCAGGATTGGGGTGAAAGGGGATTCCTTCCTTTCAATACAGCCTAGAGTATGGAAAGCGCCAGATTAAGCAACCAGGGTAGGGTTAAAAAGAGAAGAGGCGTGTAAATGAGTGCCAGATAAAGAGCAGGTCAGGTGTTGTCTTCAAGGAGCTGAGAGTTCGTGCCCCCCAGAGAACGACACAGATGTGCTGAGGGAGGTTATAAAAAGAGACTTTCTATCTGAGATCACAGAACTCTATTTTTAACTCTGTTTAAAAAAGAAAAGAGAGAAAGAGAGAAAGAAGAAAAAGACACGAATGAATGGAGGCTGTTTGTAGTCTCTTGATCAACCAAGAAGCCAAGACTACCTGTCAATTGAAGGAGTGATTCTTTGGAGAACTGAGGCCGAAAGAGGGACAAAAATTAATTTCTAGTTCACTCTTCATCTGAATATAATGACATGTCTCCCAAAAATAGGACAAAGTATACACAGGAGCTGCAGCCAAATATTAAAGCTACCATCCCACTAGCTGAGCTAGAGGTGCAGGAGACAGCTCTACGCTCAGGAGAACAGCTAAGGTGCGCGGAACCACAGAACTACAGTTCACGCTAGAGAGATCTACAGAGCCAAATGCTGTGGCCACGGACTTCTGTGGGACACACTAGCTCTTTACAAATGTGTTCACTGTCACGAGTCTGTACTGCAAGAGACAGACTATTCCTCTAAGTTGGGGTTCCAAGTCAAAAGTAGATGAGGAAAGTCTGTAGTAAAGCCCCCCCCCCAGAAGAAGACCTCAGCTGTTAAGGGCTATGAATAGCCACATTGCATCCCTGTGGGGACTCTGCCCCAGTGGCAATGCTGTGGGTTCTATATCTACACCATACCAAAGAGCACATCACTTGTTGCTATCCCCAACAATCATGGCTATAATCTGGGCCACCACCATCTTTCCAGTACCCTACACCTCCTTTCCAGAGGGTGCCTTGTTCCTCTCTTACCAACATAAGCACTGAGTCTCCTCACAACAGTATGAACACCCTATTAAAGACACGGACCAGAGTATATGTCACTCCTGGCTTTTCATGGACCTTGGAATGGAGACTCCTACCTGTAAGGGCTGGGGAGATGGCTCCATGGCTAAAGTACTTTCTACACAAGCATGAAAGTTGAGTTTAGATACCCGACACCACAAATAAAAACCAGATATGACAGATGCATCTATACCAGCAGAGCTGGGCCAGAGGAAGGAGACAGGTGGAGGTCAGGGGCTCACTAGCCAGACAGCCTGGCCGAAATAGAAAAGTCTAGGTGCAACGACATGCCCCGTCCCCCAAAATGTGGTTGAGATTAATTGAAGAAACACCAGATATCAAACTCTTGTGTCTCCACCCCGACCACACAAGTATGGGCAAGAGCACTTATACACATGGGCCATGGGCACACAGGTACAAACACACATATATACACATTCTCTCTCTCTCTCTTTCTCTCTCTCTCTCTCTCTCTCTCTCTCTCTCTCTCTCTCTCTCTCACACACACACACACACAGACACACATAGAAAGACACAGACACATATATACACATTCTCTCTCTCTCTCTCTCTCTCTCTCTCTCTCTCTCTCTCTCACACACACACACACACACACACACACACACACATACACCGAGGTCTTCAGCCCAAAGGCTTCTCATGATCTGTTTCCTTTCACCTCACATTACTCCTTCAACTTTCCCATTATATTCCAGGAACATACACTGGCTTCATACCATCTCTTAAATTTGTCAAATGCTTTTCTAATGAACTTTGATGTAGAGTTCCAACCCACATGACAATAAATAAGAGCCCCAGTCATCCCAATTTTCTATGAAGCAGTCAAAAGAAATCAGTTAACTCAACCTTCTTGAAAAGGTGTAATGCCTCTTGGGAAAGTATCTACTTTCCTCTGAACAGATATCACATAGAACATTTTGTAAACTTATTCATTTCCTATAAAATGTGCCAGTAAGGGTGTGACATATAGAGTTATGATTAACTTACTAACAAATTGACAAAAGAGGCTACTGCAAAGCTAATATCCAGCAAAGCCTCATTTGTCTCCTCCTTAAGCAAATATTTTGGCTAAGCATTTTCCTACCATCGTTACAGGAGGGAAGAAAGCACACCCTTATGCCAGTAAGAGTAACAAAAGGAATCCCAGTCTTTACTAATGGGATACTAATTTGAAGACTTCATAAGGTAACAGGACAGTATATACAGATTCCTTATGTGGCTGGCAAGATGGTTCGGTGAATATAGGTGCTTGTCAACAAGTCTGACAATCTGAACTTGATCCCCAGAACCTACATAGTGAAAGGAAGGGTGTCTTCTGACCTCCACATATGCACCGAGGCATGCCCAGTCACACATGTACATTTGTTAGTTCAGACTCCAACTCCCAGCCAGGCAAGCACTGACTCCTCCCACAGGGTATTTAGGGTCGTGTGGAAACAAGGAACATGTGGGTTTGGGTTTGCATGTGGACTCCCTCTGTCTTTCCCCTGCCATGCTCCTGGCCGCCTGGGAGTGTGCCGTCTATTAAACATGGGCATTTGATTTGGTTTAATCTGGTTTGATTGGAGTTCTTTGTGCTGGTGGAGAGGCTTTTCTTAAAAATATTAAATATAATAAAAAAAGTTAAGTAAAGGTTCCCAGATAACCCTGAATCAAAGCTAGGCTGGTTTCCCATGTGCATTATGGAAAGCAACGCTTTGTGCTGCAGTTTTTGATTTGAAAACATCTTAGAGTGGCTTGGGGAATATTCTCAAGGAAGACAGTTGAGGCAGAGATGTCAAGTACAAACCAAGGACATTGGAATTAGTTAAGCAGAGAACTTAACCCTGTATTTTGTGGCTGAGGTTTTGTTCACATGGGACAGACGAACAGATTTTGAATCTCAGAACTTGAAAGTGGCAAATCCCTCTGCAGTCACCAGACCCTCAATGAAAGCTAAGACATTAATAAAAATATTTTATATTTTTCCACCAAAAGAAGAAGCCCAAGATACCCTTTTTTCTTTGTTCTTTTTTTTTTTTAAAGAACATCTTATATGAAAGACAGAAAACACAAAATCTCCTTGATGGCATAATTCAGCATTCTTGGAAAAACATGTATGAGAACTTCCTTCCACAAAAGCTCCATCTAACCAAGCACTTAACTGAACTCATGACTTCCCTTGGTGGTTTCCTGACCGGTTCGCAGTGACAAGACATCATTTCTACAAAGCGTCTGGCCTGTGTCTTTGACTTGCCAAGGGCAGAATCAGAAAACACTTGATTAACACTGAAGGTACAGGTCCACCAGGACTGTCATCTACAGCTGACCCCACGCGTTTACTGAGAAAATGTGAGACAGGTCTCGTTCTTTGAGAGTGTTGGCCTCAGGAACGGATCTGAGCACACACTGCAGACTTCCAAGAAGACCCTATCATATCAAAGCCCATGTGGCAGAGGAGAAACAGAGATGCTCAGGTTGAACAACTTCCCCAAAGTCACAAGCAATAAAGGCCAATGACAACATTCAGCCCAGAGAACTGATACCATTAACCCTGGGGACTGTTTACTTGCTATGGCTCTTGTCCCTTTGCTTGGATAAACATGAAGGACATACAAAACTCGGAATTTTTAAGGTTGTTAGCTTTGTCCAAACACTAGACACATGCAAAGAGCTGAAACTTTTCCATAAGTTGTTAAGAGAGATACTATGCCAGGACTCAGCAATCAAGAGCACTAGCTGCTTTTCCAGAGGATCCAGGTTAGATTCCCAGCACCCATATGGTGGTTAGCAACCATCTGTAACTGCAGTTCCAGAGAATCCCATGCCCTAATCAGGCCTCTCCAGGCACCAGACATACATGTAGTACACATATGCACACAGGAGGAAAAAAAAAACCCATGTACACAGTAAAATTTTTAAAGTTTAAAAATTAATAAACTAGTTTAAAGGAGATCTTATCTATTTTTAATCCCAAGGTTTGAAGAAAAGGGGGTCCAAGCGAACAGTGTAAGGTCTAATATCTAATAATATCAAGGATTGAGGTAAGGTTCTGTCCATTTTCTCCAGATTTCCAGTCCACTAGCAACAGTTTGTTGTTAAACCTGATTTACTTACCTCACACACTGCCTTAGCTAGGGTTTCTATTACTGTGATGAAACACCATGACCAAAAAGCAGGTTTGAGGGAAAGGTTTATTTGTCTTCCACTTCCATCACTGGAGGAAGTCGAAACAGGAACTCAAGCAGAGCTGGTTCCTGGAGGCAGGAGCTGATGAAGATGCCGTGGACGGGAGCTCTTCACTGCCTTGCTTTCTCTGGTTTGCTCAGCCTACCTTCTCATAGAACTCAAGAACACAGCCCAGGGCTGGCCCCATCCACCATGGGCTGGGACCTCCCCCATTGAGCACTAGTGAGAAAATGCCTTACAGCTGGATCTCAAAGAGGCTATTGCTTCAGTAGAGGGTCCTTTCCCTCTGATGACTGTAGTTTGTGTGAAGTTGACACACAAAACCAGCCAGTACACACACACAAATACACACACATACACACAGATCCTAAGCTTCCCTCACCCTCCCCTCTTCTCTCCCCCTTCCATTCCCCAACCACCTGCCAACAACATTAGGAAAAAAAAAAATTCTGATGACCTCACTATTGAAAGTCACTGGTGCATTTCTGTTTGGGGATTCTGGCTCACCCTACTTATCCTCCTGTTGGCCTTTCCCACTATCTCTAGTTTTACATTTTAAAATTCATCCTTTGGCCTTCAAGCACCAGGATCCTTCCTCCGAGTTTTACTTGAAGATATTCAGTTGGTGCTT